ATAAAAGTAAAATAAACAAATCAACGGTATGATCTTCATCACACTAACTAAATATTAAACAAAAAGAAAGATGCTTCGCCACCACCAAAAAGTTATTTTTAGTAGCATATATATGATAAAATAAATAAATAATAATAAAAAACAATAAGGAATTCGATTATTGAAATTAAATACTCTTAAATGTAAAATAAACAAAATTTTTTATTCTTACCAAACAGTTCTCTTCGATTGGAAAAAAAGAATTTATTAAAATTTGTCATGCGGAAAAAAGGTATTCACATTCATTGATCATCAAAGAAAGAATAAAGAATCACAGATCGATTTCAGAAAAATAAAAAAAATTTTTTTTTTTGAAATTTACCACCAAGCGAAAACAAAAAATTAGGTTTGAAAAAACAGAATTTTGCTGGCTCATTGATCATGCCTCTCTCGTCTTTTTGCAAAGCATTGCAATTGACATTCGCCATACGACACAATTTTTACCAAATATGGTGAAAATGTTGATCGCGCCAAAAGTCGAAAAAACCAAGCGTGGCTAAACGCAAAAGGAGGCAATCGGAGAGAAACCTGCACGAGGTCGCTCGCCTTATTGATTTTGGAAGGTGATCACGACACGGCAAATGTTTCGTTTCTTACTTGTGTTAATGAATATTTATTATTTTATTTATTTAGTTTTCCTTAGTCGAAACTAATTAACTTGTTACAAAGTTACTTTTACAATAGGTCGAATTTGAGTTCTTTATATACATGTTAAATTACATAGGAACCCACATTGTGCTTGGGCGATTCCGCACACTGTGGGCTATTTTGCCCACCTTGGGATCATCGTCATTAATCTCTACTAAACAAAATTAAATAAATATTAACGTGCTACGAATTAATTAATAAAATATACGAAACGTAGCACGAATATAAATGATAATAAATAATTATACAAGTTATTAATAAATAAATAGAAAATGATAAAGAAATTAAATAAAAATTAAATTATCCCGGAATTAAGAGGTTCGGCCAAAATATCTACGTTAAAGTCTAATTCCAGTAACAATAGCATTGGAGCCTGCTATATGAAATTTATAATAATTATGATGCATGTATGAATTAATTAATACCTGTTATATATACATATTATATATTAATTCAAAAATGGCATCTTCAATATCGTTGGGTAGGCATACATAGTATTTATAAATACACTTTTTTTTTCAACGAAAAGATCTGCCAATCATTATCGATTTGTTCTTTTTTCCCGGAATATTTTTGGTACAGTATTTATAAATTTCAAATTTGGAAAGATCCCTGACTAAACTAACCTATATATAACGTTATTGTTATGAAACCCCCATCAATGATTTTGATGATATCATAGTCGGGAAAATATGGTTAAGTTGCTTCACGATAATAATAAAGACAGATATAAAGTTTATAGACGGAGATTTTTAAATCTCAGTTCGTTATACGTATATAGAAAGAGAGTGTGTAATGTATATATATACCATTGCTAAAACGCCATACAAAAAATTATACACCACAAATATATAAAATAAAGTTATTGTATTATTAATAAAACCAATTTAGCTTTAATTAATTGATATTTAGTAATAATGAAAAATTTATTAATATTTTTGAACATTTCTACAAACAATTTTAAGAAAGAACATAAAAAGTTCAATTTCAACTAATTTTGACATTAATTCTGAAGGAATTGTCTTTTTGACAACACTTTCAAAAACAACAGTTCTAATAAGATTCATAAATACAAAATGTAAATTATAGTTACCTGCATGCCTTTTTTTACTTGTAGTTATTACTAAATTCAAACAATGAGAGCCCCAACATGCCTTACCAGGTAATTTTACGGTTGTATTTCTTTTAAGCACTTCTTATTTGGTATAAATAATATCCACAATATATATCCTAGAATAAAAATTACTATGTTTTAATATGTGTTGATAAATGTGTAATCAAAAATATTGGGGAAATTCTCAGCCTGGGAAAATTTTATTCAAAAAATATATTGAATAAGGTTTATTCATTTATTTATTATTATTATTATTATTATGAATTCGAGCATTCGGATTACATTGAAAGTTTATTCGAATAAAATAATAAACTTTTTATATTTAAACATGATTCTTCAATGTGATGGCTTTTAAAACATTTAACAATGTCCTTTGTATTTCTTTTGCCCAAGATAAATCTAGAGTGCAAAAATTCTTTATCCGATTAATTGGTCGTAAAAATTAATATTAAGAGTTAGCCCTTAACTGGAAGAATGAATCATTCAAATGATATAACTGATAGTAATAGCATATGCATTATCTGATCCAGTTAAAAAATTATAGACATAGTATGGTTTCTATTGAATAAGAATTATTTGTATTATTCGTTATGGATTCGAATTACATTGAGTATGAATGTTTATTCGAATAAACGAATAAAACGAGTAAAAGAATAAAACGAATAACGAATAAAACGAATATTTGAATAAACGAACAAATTCGAATTAATATTAATATCAAGGCTGAGTTGTATTACGAATAATAATTCGGATAAGAATTCGTATTACAAATAGAAACTCTAGTTATAAGTCCCACCCAAGAGAAAAGATAAAGATCGATGCTCTATACAAACAGCAGCATTATCCATATTTGTTTCATAATTATAAATATGGATTATGTTTTGGTATCTGATATTAATATGTATTCTAGTTAGAATAAAAATTTGTAACGCCAATATTGATAAATAATTAATATTAATATTAATATTGACCAGTTAAAATTAACCGGTTAAATTAACCGGTATTAGTATAGAAAAATCAATGATCATTACATGTATGAAGTCATGTGCAATTTTAATATACATAAAACCATCTAATTTAGGTTGTATTTTTGATTTTTTTGGCTTTAAACTTTTGCTAACTCTTTGTTGGAATCGGAATTGTCTGTTTTATCTCTTTTTACCAAAGCAGTTAAGATTTTTTCGTTTAATGACGTTTTAAAAAATAATGAAACAAAATAAATTATTTTAAATCAAGAAATTCAATTGTATGAAAATCAATGCCATTTTGTTAATTTAGATTTATATAATATTTTTAATATTATATTTTATTTTGTTTCTATATACTTTAGTACATTACATTGTTATGTCATATATCAATTAATATGGTTAAACTTGTAGAGAGATCTGCATTTTTATTTAGATCACGCGAATCCGTTATTGTTGATATATTAATATTAGTATATATTAATATATAGGTCATACATATGAAATTAAAATGGTTTTCAGATGCAATGCAATTGATAATATACGTTATAGAGAGGAGATTTCAAATAGTAAAAAATTGGGACAAAATTTTAGTTCGTTATTTGTTATTATAGAGGAAAATTCAGTATAGAATATCCGCCGTTATTATTATAGAGAACGTGCGTGGACTGTGAATGCGTTTTTCACTACATGATCGGCAAAAATAATAATGAAAATTTTGCGGCTTCACGTTTGTAATACATAATATTGGACCCTAGTGACCTATATATCATACATATACTTGGTGTGTACCTGATACATAACAGGGTATAAACTGGATGTTAGAAAACTGAAATTGTAAATAACCATATTCCTCAACCACTTTTTTAAAACATATGAATTAAAATTGCTCGGTTTTGACTTTTCCTTTAATTATGAAAAACCATTCATTAGAAAGCTTGAATGAATGGTGTAGTTTTACTTTGCTTTAATAATAAAACTCAAAGAACAACCCAGTAAATGTGCGAAAATAGCGGTATTTGAGGCGTTTAAGTGATAATGGCCACCCAGCCCGGAACAAAGTTCTAACCCCTTTTTCTTTTATTTCCATAGATGATCAAGTAACACCACATTTGTATACTACATCAAGTAGTTCGCGCGACTAATCCTAATTTGCTAAAATTGACATGGTTCCATACTAACAATTTATTTTATTTGTGTGTGGATGTGTAATAATATTATGCAATAAAATCTTCTATCAAATTAACGTTAATATTGCTATGCATTAAACTTAAATTTTTCTTTAAAAAAAACCAAATAATAGTTTTTTTGGCGTTACAATTTTTTAATTTTTTTTCAAAAGTAAAAAAAAATGTCAAAACTTTTAAGTTATTTCAAGTGTAAGTAATGAAAATTTTCTTTTTTTTTTTCTTCACGTTATAATATTAAATGTAATATTATTTTATAATTATAAAATGTTAAATAGATAATGATTCTGAAAGATGCAAACTATGTAAAACGCCATATCAAATTTCTGGAGGTTCGAATATTCTACTTAACAAATGGTGTCAATTGTGCGAGGCCGCAAAATTTCAAAAGGAATTTCCAAACTGGACGAGTGGAAACCAAGATGTTGACCTCTTGATTCAACACACACAACTAAATGCAAAAAATTCGGGAAATTATTTGGAATGGATCCCATACGAAAACTTTTCAGATATTAAAGAGATTAATAAAGGTGGATATTCAACAATATATGAAGCTAAATGGAAACATAGTTATAGATCACTTTGGAATGAGAATTGGAATGTTACGGAAGATTGGGTGATTTTAAAACAATTACATCATGATGACGAAATTTCCATTCAATTTTTGGATCAGGTATAATACTTTTTTCCAGAAAATAATACTTTTAAAAATAAAATGAATTTAAAAAAAAATTTTTAAAATTTTTATAGATTCAAAGTATTTTTGGTAGTGAGAGTATAAAAAGAAACGAAGAATACTTTGTCATGTTAACAAAATATTATGGACTTTCACAGAATCCAATCACAAAAGAATATATTGTAGTACAACAATATATGTATAATGGAAGTTTACGTGAATGGTTTAAAAAACCATATGCAAAAGAAACTTTATATAGTAAAATAAATCATTCATGGATTGTGTCGGGTTCACTCAAAATAATTCATGAAAAAAATCAATATCACGGAAATTTTCATCCAGGTAATATTGTGGTGCAAGGAGTGAGCACTATGACAGGCATATCGCCTAAAATATTAGTTAGCGATTGGGGATTGAGTAAACCGGTTGATAACTTAATATTCAAAGGTGAAATATTTGGTGTAATACCTTATGTTGCACCAGAAGTTTTTAGAGGCAAGGCATACACAAAATTATCGGATATCTACAGTTTTGGAATGATAATGTATGAACTTGGTACAGGTAAAAGGCCATTTTACAATTTAGCACACGACGAGAACTTAGTTTATGAGATATGTGTCAATGGACTAAGGCCTGAATATAATGAAAATGAATTACCTAAATTTTACATTGATCTAATGGAAAGGTGTTGGAGTCAAGATCCTTCAGAAAGACCGGATGCAGATGAACTATTTAATATAATTGAGAATTTAGGCAAAGATGGCAACAAAGATGAATATTTAAAACAAATTAAAGAAGCCGAGGAATATCAAAGATTATTAATGTTGGAAAATAATATCACAAGTTATGATAGTATGATTCATAATGATGCAATTTACACAAGTAGAGAACTTAGTAGATATACAATATTATTACCTATTGAATTTATTGATATTAATAATAATGAAGCTGAAATTGATGAAAAAGTTCATAATAATAATGATTATGATAATGATAGCAGTAGCAGCAGCAGTAATAAGGATGACGATAGTTATGGTTATAATCATACTAGTAACAATAAATATAATTATCTCTATGAATTTTTATATGAAAAGTCACAAAGTTATAATTTCATTACTGGAAATAATAAAATAGAATTAAATCTTGAAAATGTTTGGAATTAGTAAATAGTAATAATAACAATAACAATAATAATAATAATAATAATAACAATAATAACGGTAGTAATGTAATATTATAATATAGAATCATGTAATAGTGTAAAACAGCATAAAATAACGCTCTAAAACTTCCCTGATGTTAGAGAATCCACAAATCACGTCTATGATGACTTGGTTTTGGAATATTTAATAATAATGGCCATAATAATAGTAATGGTAATAGTAATAATAATACTTAATATTTAATATTTAATACCTAATTAATAATTTATAATAGAACGATTTCTAAATCAAAAAAAAAATTTTTATTAATTTTTTGTAATATTATTTTTCCAGTTTTTACACAATAAAAATAAGTATTAAAAAAAAATAATACAATCTATTCTAATAAATAATAACAACACAATTATTATTGGTAATTATAATACAAATTCAATGATAATAAATAATAATAAATACTTCTAATAGAATTTTATGATTTTTTTGTTGAATCACTATCTTTTTGTCCTTCAATTGCACTAGTTGCAATTTTGACACCATCCGATGCTATTTTGTTAGCATCAAGTTTTGTATCGGATCCACCATCAATTATGTTACCTATAACTTGAATTCCACTCGAAACAAGTTTATCGACAACATCCGAAGGTTTTGTATCAGTCGAGCCACTTTGTTTTTGTCCTTCAATTACACTGGTTGCAGCTTTGATACCTTCTGATGCTATCTTGCCAATATCACCGCCACCACCGGTATCAGTAGCTATTGTCTTTATTCCGTCAGAAATAATTTCATTAATAACAGGTTTTGTATCAGTTAAGCCGCTTTGCTTTTGTCCTTCGATTACACTGGATGCGACTTTGATACCATCCGATGCTATTTTACTAGCATCAAGTTTTGCATCGGAACCGCCATCAATCATGTGAATTCCATCCGAAACAAGTTTACTAACGTCTGAAGATTTTTGACCATCACCACCGGTATCAGTAGCTATTGTCTTGATTCCATCAGAAATAATTTCATTAATAACAGGTTTTGTATCAGTTGAGCCGCTTTGCTTTTGTCCTTCAATTACACTGGATGCAACTTTGACACCATCCGATATTATTTTACTAGCATCAATATTAGATGACTTTTCATCATCATTGTTAGAAGTTCCAGATACAGTTGTTACTATACTATTAAGAGCATCAATTGTATTTTCTTTACCTGAGGCTCCCTCTTTTTTATTAAATAAATTACTAATGCTATTTAAAAAACCCACTCCACCAGAGGACGTCTTATTTTTATTTTCATCCGATTTCTTCTCGTCGGATTTGTTTTCATCGGGTTTTTTCTCATTACTTGAAGAGTCTTGTTGTTGTTGTTGTTGTTTTTCCTTTTCTCCTTCAGTGATTTCATTATTTGGACCTGAAATTGTATTGTCGATAAGAGTTTGAACATTGGGACTAGTTAAGGTATTTTTCTTTCCGAGTTCTAACGGCGGTTTTTTCTGTGTACCCATTTCCTCAAGAGCTTCCATTTCGGATTCATTAGTTTTATCATCGATCTTTTTATCTGCACCAACCAATTTATCATGGAAACAAGGATAACAAGTAACCATTCTTGTGATAAATTTAAAGATAGCATAAACAATCAATTCGTCTTTATTTACTTTCCAGATACCTATCATCCAACTAATAACATTCATTATAGATGTCATAATTATAGCTAAAACTGCTACCAGTAAAGTGGTTTTAGCAAATCCAGCGGCATGTTTTACTGCTATTGATTGTTCTTCAACTTGATTATTCTCAATTTGTATAAAACCTCCAAGTCCAGTTGGAAAGGCAGTATCAATACCGCTATCGGAGATTCCATTAAGAGATGTTATATTACTACTGGCGGAGAATGAAGCTGCTATAATGATCAGGACTTGTGAAATGGCGCCCAAAATTTGAGAAAATTGAGCGTCCAATTTTTTGACTGATGTATTATAAGATTCAACTTCTGGCTTTAATAAATTGAACACTTTTAATATTCCATTATAATAAATTGGGCCTTGTAATCCTGCAGGTGACTGTTTGCTTGGGTGAAATCTTCGATAAAATAAAACAATTATATTTGAAATTATAAAAAGTATGATTTGTAAACTTATTGTCACCCCGGAAATCTTGCCAACGGTCGAAATACTTCCGAAATTCCATTCGGTGAAAACGAATGATCCAATAAGTACATTATAAAGGAAGTTGCCAAAACTACTACTAAGTCCTAATAAAGTCAGCCATTGGATAATTAAACTGGTATAATACATTAAAAAATTTAATAATAGTTCAACTCTATAAATGCGCCTGGTAATTCTTTTCTCTTCTTCTTCTCTTTGTTCCGGTGTATCTTTATCAATAGTCCGAATTGCTTCTTCGATGTTGTCTTTTACACCAACTTTATCTAATACCTCTAATGTCGTTTGAACAGACTCTCCGGTAATTTGTGGTGTTGCAGTAGCCATGGCATTTAAAACTTTACCACCGGTGCCTTTTACTGCTGGTACATTAACTGTCACTGGTGATTTTGACGCAGACATTATTATTATTATTTATTATTATTATTATTATTATTATTATTATTATTTAGTATTATAAATATGTGTATGTATATATGTATATGATATAGATAGATAATAATTAAATATTAGTTAAACTATTTAATTCGTTAAAAAATAGATAAAATAAAAAATTTATTTTTCTGAAAAAGAAATTTTCTGGTCTTCAATGCTACCCGTAACCTTTTATTTATTTTTCAGTTGTTTGCTTTGTTAATCGCTATGTATCTTGTTTATTATCACATTTTTAGAAAATTTATTATTATTTGTTTGTTTTGTAAAACGTAAATATACAATGATTAATAATAAATAAATAAAGTGATACAAATTTTTTCGATAATTGTAGACGTGCGAATTGATTATAATAATAATAAATTCCCAAGCTAATTTTTATATATAAATAAAAAATTATTCGCTTTTTAAGGCTAGTTCCTTCCTGCTCGGGAATTGGTTTTTTGGTAATTTTTTTTTTTTTAATTTTGAATTTTGTACAAATTATTGGCGCGTGTAACGTTTCGTGTAACTTCTAACGTCCAATCAGATGATAAAAAAATTTTTTTAAGAAAAAATGAATTGATTTTATACATATAGTAATTAGAATAAACTCGCCTATCACCACCATCATCCTTTACTGAAAAACGAAAAAAAAATTTTTTAAGAGGAATTAAAACCAAAATCTCTCAAATAAGGTATTCCCTCCCGATGTTTTTTTGATTTCATATTTCACACCCTGTCCAGGATCAAGTCCAAATACCCTGCATCCATTCAAAATCAATATGTAACCATTCTCCACCCATATCTTTGTTATTATTATCAGTTTGTATAGAATAAGCAAGGTTCGATTTTGTATGGTGTCACTATTAACATTAAATGCCAAGTTTCCATGTCAGTTGTACAGTTGTTGCTCAACTGATCAATGCATATAATATAAGCACCAGTATCAATTAATATGTCCTTTTGTTTAAAAGAGTATTCATGTAAAAGTATAAAAGGATGAAGGTCATGTTCTCAGTTGCGCTTGGTAAAGATGCAGAGGATTTTTAAATGAGACCTGAAAGATATATATATACTTTTATGGAATTATCATCAAGAGCTCGATTTTGGAACAATTCCCGTTTCACTTTCAAGCGAATGGATTGCATGTGAGCAAATGTGATAAAGAAAGCGTTTTTAAAGGAAGGAGAAGGGAGAATCATGATTCTGCAAGCTGTCAGTGATGTGATTTATGATGGGGATAATATATTTTTTTGGCGAAGGGAATTGGTGAATCTTAAATAGTTTACACATTATCCATTTTTTATTTATTCAGTTCATTCCTTGAGGCTGATATTGCGTGTATAGTGCATCTCAGATATATAATATTTATGATAATTTTATGGATGCTTTGTTTATTTTACCAACTGGAAACACTTTTGTATATACTTGAAGGCATCTTCACTCGTATTGAAGTTGCTAATGGCTACATGATAAAGTATTGCAACTAAGAACCTTCAAAAGCAATTTGAGTCATTATTTAACAGAACTTGGATCAGGGTTGATAGAGTAGTAGGTTGGGCCCATCAAGACCAAGGAGGGCTGGCCTGGTTCATGTTTTATATCTTTTTCTTGATATACCAAGTTTTGGAACTTTACAAAGGCTACTTGATGACCAGGAATTTTGTATTTTTCTAAAAAATAAATAAAAAAGTTTGATATATCATTTGTTAATATAGTCCTTCTATAAAAAATATTTTATTAATCGTATTTTTTATCAATGGAAACTCTTTGTACGATTGTGTAATTATGAATTTGACAATAAATTAATTGTATAATAAATTTATTGATAAATTACAATCGCACTATTGTGATTATTTTGGAACTGTAGGCGCCTGACCACGTCATTTGTAATTTTACGATTTATCAAGATTTATTTATTTTATTTCTATTAAGCTTCATAAAATATTAATTAGCAATAATAATAATGAATGAAAAAAAATATAGATAAAACCTAAATTCAAAAAAAGCGAGCAGCTGGTCAGTAATAATTTAATTTCGTGAAACGAAATTTTTTACAATTTCTTTCTTATGTTAATGTTAATGAAAAGGGTTATCTTGTAAGACTTGAGCACAACATTGAATTTCTTGTTAAGTAATTGTTAAATGGAAATTAAGGCCTTTTTTATATTAATTAATATAAATTAATAAATAAAATAATATAAACAAAATATATATATAATTTAAGTTTGCATTTTTATTTTGATAATTAAATAAGTTTTTTTTCGAATACTTACACCCTTTAATTTTTTCTTCATGTTTTAAATTTTTGCTGAAAGATCTTTATTTTCACATTCACAGACCTTCTTTAATTACTAACAACCAATCACTATTATTTTTTAAAATTTTTAATTTAAATATTTCTTCCCACTCCTCTTTTCATAATTCACTCACTGTATATAACATATGCTACCAGTATAATAATATACATACACATACATACATATATATATCTACTTCAAAATTATTTCCTAATTCAAAAAAAAAAAAAAATTTAAAAAACTTGTATATTCAAGGTATTTGAATAAAAACTTAAAAAGAATTGTTTGTTATTTGCCACGATATAACAAATATTAAAACTAAAATATTTTTTTAAAAAAATTTATAATATGCCTAGATTACCTCAAATCTTTTATTAAAATTTCAAACACACATTCTCTCGAATTTATCACAATTGTATAAACGATAATTAAATAATTCATGGCAAACACCACCACCACCACATCATATCATTTAACTCCTCCTCCAACACGAAATAATGAATTAAGCGCAGCATCTAATAGTAATAATAGTCCACTATCACAAAGAAGTCCACCTTCGCCTCGTACTCAATCAAAATCTATACTAACTATTGCTCTACAAAAGGCTCAATCTGCTGTAGAGTTTGATGCTGCAAATGATTTCACTGCCGCATTAGAGGCTTATAGAGAGACAGTTGAACTTCTTTCGCAGGTTGTAGATAAAGCTGTAAATGACGTTGAACGGCGAAGGTTGCAATTAATTGTGAGTTATAAATTTTTTTTGAATTGGAATAAGGAGTTAAAGGGATCGATTGCAATGTGTTGAACGTTAGATTATATTTTATAGGAGTTAGGGGTAGAATTTAATGAATTAAAAGTGATTATTCGTTGAGAATTAATTTAATTAATAGATAAACATTCTTTTTTATAGCACAGTACATATGTTGATCGAATACGATTACTATCCGCGATATCACCGGATTCATCTATGGATGGTACTGATGGCATTGAGTCAGATAATAAACAAAATGAAAATTCTACAGATTTAATCAGTGATTCATCATCATCAAAGACATCATCATCATCGTCGTCGTCGTCATCATCATCATCATCAACAGCTTCAATTTCATTATCACCAATAACTGTATCAAATAGTCAACATATAGAAGAATCTGATGGATTGACAGAATCTGATGATCAAAAAACTGAAACTTCATCGATAAAAAGTGATAATAATAATAATAATAATAATAATAATAATAATAATAATATAATAAAACCAGACGCCGGACCTACACGTGTTTTCATACCACCACCACCACCAAATATCGCACCTCCAACTACTTCAGTAAATTCCAGTCCACGTGGAACAACAATGTTGTATTCTGCATCAATAACTACATCATCATCACCATCATCACCATCATCACCATCACCATCATCATCATCATCACCACCACCACCACCATCATCATCATCATCATCACCCCTCCTTGACCAAACTTTTATGAGAAGAAGATCCACATTGCCTAATATAACACCATCATCACCTCCACCTGTACACACATCATCATCATCGTCATCATCATCATCAATGATTAAACCAATATCACCCACTTCATCAATGACTGAATCCACAACAGGATCTTTTTCAACAAATTTAATTTCTGACGACGAAGATGACAAAGAATCAATTAGATCTATACCTCAAAATACTACTAATGTCGCCAACAATATCACAAATACTGCCACTGCTTCTAATATTTCATCATCGTCACCATATTTTGTAGAAAATTTCCATAAAAATAATAAAAAATCATTTGCTAAAAGTCGACGACCAGCTCCTCTTTCATCAATTCAGTACAATTCTCGTACTGTAAATTTTCGTCCAACATTAACTAATGATGCATCAAATAATAATGATAATAATAATGATGGTAATGACTATTCACCTCCTAATACCACAGCCACTGCTGTTACTACACCTGTCACTTCTACTGTTAATTATAACACCTATGTTCCCCCAAGAAGAACTGCTTCAAATCCTGGTAATGGTCTACGAAAAAATAATTCATTACGCTTCTTCAATAATTATTCACAGTCTTTGCCATCACAAAGTTTCACTCAATATCTGTCACAAATACCAGGAACCCCAACCACACCATGGACGAGTAATAGCTTACCATCGCCTTTGAGTAGCCCAAGATCCAGTGTTACACCTACAGGAACTTTTAAGAATGATATAACGTCTAAAAATATGGATCTAGGATATGCATCGTGCTTATTAAATCCTTTATATAATCCATTATTTTACGAAAAAGAAGAAGAAACTTCAAATATGGTAGAATATGGATTGCCAGAATCACCACCAAATGATATACATTTAAAACCTTTTTGGTTGATGAGATTATTGGAACGAACCATGACCACTGGTGGATATTTAACACCAAAATTATATATTCCAAGACATTTATGGTTACAAGGACATGCAAAACTTAATGCATTGGAAACTAAAATTTCTAGTTGTGATGTTGTTTTAAATTGTTTGCTAAGATTGACAAAATCTTCGATTAACGATATGGATACTTTAGCAAAGGTAAATTAATAATATCTTTCAAAAACAAAAATAAAATAAAATAAAATAAAATAAACTTTTTATTAAACTATTTAAAATTTATTTAGGAATTAGAAGGTATTGACCTTATACTTGATGGATTACAAAACTCGCTGGCACGTAAAATAAGTTATATAGAGTCTACAACTGGTAAAGGTAAACAGAGTGCCAGTTCACTGATGAGTTGGGGATCCAAATTATCACGTGGACTTGATCGAATGGGTATGAGTAATGCCATGATTCGTAGTGAAGAAGCTAACGGATATGTTGATGTGCTATTAAAATTATTTCAAAATGTTGATATAGTAGGTCAGTGATAAATAAGAGTCAAAATTTTATTATTTTGTTTTTTATTTTAAATGTAAATAATTTTTTTTTTCCGATAAATTTAGAAAAACATATTTGTCATTTCTCATCATTGAAAGCACCATATCATCATCATCATACACAAATCGTTATTCGACTTTTTAAATTTTCAGATTTTTTTGGAAATGTGATATGTAGATTTGTCGTAAGAGATTTGGGTATATTGGCAGATAAATATGTAAAAAAAGGAAGTCATTGGGTTATTGATTGATTGATCGATCGATGGATGAGTGGGTGAATGAATGAATCGGTGACCTTTGGACCAATCGATCGATTATTGGATTGGGTGTTGGACATTTTGATAATCATCGGTTAACTATTTAAATTGTTAATTAATTAATTAATTAGCTAACCAAAAAAAAGTAATAGATAAAAATTGTTCTTTTTTAAAAAAACAAATAGATAAAATTATTTCTTAAATAATTATATAAATATATCTTAATAATAAATTTTAAAATTTTTGTTTTAAATATATATATTATTTCATTATTAACATTTGTATAGAATATTTATTTTAGTCATTAATTATATTTGCAGAATCGATTCCCTAGTTTTAATTTTAGAAACATCTAATTTAATTTTATTTAATTGTATTTTTTTTAATTATAATTGTTAATTATTAATTATTAATGTTATTATATATATATATATATTATTTTAATGAATTAGTGATTTATATATATATACGTATATAGGTATATAAAATATAATTTTTGTTATATAACTAATGTATGTGAAGATTGAAAAATTGTTCATTTAAAAATTCATAAAATTTTTTTAATCGACGGAATGAGATCGCTGCCATTCTTTTTCTCTTCAATGTCATTTATCCAACTAACCACTCTTTCACAGCTACGACGAAAATCATAAGCTTTAGGAACGGTCCCAATTTCAATAAATTGATTTGTTTGTTGGATTCCAAATGTTAATTTGTCCCTAATTTGAGCACATGATAGCTCTAATAGTTTTGGTGCTTCGTCATGAACCCATAAAGGAAACATGGATTGTTCAATAGTATTCATGGTGATTAATCTAATTACTGGCAGATTGTTGTTGCATCTAGATTCACATAAGTGTTTCTTTGTGTTAAATCTTGGATCATAGGCTATTACAAAATTAAAATGTTGCTATTATAAAAAATACATACATTAGAAAATTTTATTAACATAGATAATTAATTCATTCACTAAATATATATATATTGTCATAACTTACACATTCAAGTGACTTGACTTCATCTGTAACAAATATATAAAAAATCATTTTATCATTCACTTTCTTATTCTCATAATTACGATTATAAAGCATACATTGGAATCCTTCTCGCCTCAAAAAATCACTCATAATATCCTACACACAAAAATCAACAAAAAAAAAATTTTAAACATTAATTGAATAAAATAATTGAAAAATAAAATAAAGTTTTTACCATCATTTTCAAAACAGGAACTGAAATTCCTATTCTAAAGTTTATTTCCAAATCTTTTAAAATACTTAAAAAGTATTTCAAAACGATCAATTTACCACACTGGTTTTCATTTCTAAACCAATTATGCAGTGTTGATGATAAATCTGATGAGATATAAAGAGATACATGGTTAAGAACAGATAATAATGAATTATGCACACTCAATATCAAAGACCTGGCTTCTGGTCTTTCTAGATACTCTGATTCGTTTAAACACTCGTATAATTCCGGATTACTGATTATTTTATGATAGATCTTTTGCTGTAAGTATGTTATTGTTGTAGGTATTGAAACGTTATAATTTAATAAATTTGCTGGACTTTTATTGAATTGATCACAGTGTAACAAACTATTCGTATTCTTAGTATGGCTATTAATATTTTCCCCCACCTCTATCTCATCATCATCATCATCGACATCGACATCGACATCATCATTGGTCGTTTGCTTCGTCTTAAAATATGAACTTTGTCTCATAGGAAACGTTTTTATTTTTATATTTGATGATTTTATAGGCCCCACTTTTCCGATATTAACGTTATTATCATCTTCACTACTGTAGTCAATATTCAACCTGCACGTTTCTCTTTTCCTTTTATTATTAGGGGTTGTTGTTGTTTTAAAACTACTATCACTAAAATTGTTAAGAGTTGGTGATCTCCCTCTCTTTTTCTCATTATCATCAACAGTAGTTGTAGTAGCAGGCTTTGTTTCTTCCCAGTGTTTAATTAATTCAGCATTACAAAAGCTTTCTGGTTCCTATTAAAAATTATTAAAAATAAGATAAACGATATACATATAAAAATAAACGTTTATCATATTTAGAATATTTGTTACCCATGTTGGCGCCCATTTTCTTCCATGATCGTCTGTACCCTCCCATCTAACCAAAAAGTATTTTTTATCTTTCTCTACTTTCTCATTAAGTATACGATCAGCTTCATAGTATATAACTTTTTGCGCTGAATTCTTTCTTGGCATAATTATTATTGTTGTTTTTTTCTTTCTCTTCTAAAATTAATGATGGATGAACCAGAAATTCTGATTTTCTTCCCAAAATGGAAAATCATCACAAAAACATTATCACATGATGAAGGGGGACGCGTCTATACTATATTTATATAATAATAGGTAGGTGCCAGCCAGCCAAGGCGCAAAATGCCAATTACAATTACAATTACAATTGAAATTTTACCGGAAGCAATAGATTTTCCGGTTGTAGGTCATCATGCAATTAAAATAGTAATGTAAAAAAATCCACTAATATATATTAATATTATTTTTTTTTTTAAACGACGTAATACATATAAAAAATTTAAATTATTTACAATGCACAACTCCCCCTTTTTACCATAGAATGGTATCCGTTTGGAACGACTTGGCGTCGTTCTACTAATATATTAATATTAATATATTAATATTAATTATTTATCAATTTGTAAAGGTCACGCCACGTGATTAATGATTTTTCTACACACATTTACCAGAAGCTACATTTCCAAAGAAAAAAGAACTGCAATAATAATAAAACGGGGCATACTGCATGTGACACACTTTTTTCTCTGTATAAGAATTATTTGTATGAAAATCAATATTACTATTAAATTAGAGATTGGAATCTTTGACTGATTAATTGATCAAAAAATGATTAATTGAAAAATATTAATTGATTAATTAGAACTTTTTGTTTTAATTATTCTTTTTAGGAAGTAAACAATGATTATTTTGTCAACATTTAAGACTGTTTTAGTTGTAATGGACAAACATTTTGATGATTAGTAAAGGTTTCAGTTAGTTCAAAAAATATATAATGGTTGCATTCTCTTCTTTTTGCTTTTAAAATTTTTAAAAATAAATTGTACTAATAAATAAATGATAAGTTATATTGGATAACCTATATTAAGTCAATTAGCTAGAAAAATTTTGGTGATTCCAGCAACTTTAGTAGCTGGTGAAAGATTATTTAGTGATATTGGTAATAATATTACTACTGATTTAAGGGTAGGGGGAATCACATGTCAATTTATATGTGGATTGGCAGCTCAAAAATCTGAATTATACAAGTTGCATAATAAAAGTTGTTAATCTAAAAAAAAATTTGTCTCAAATTTTCTTGCAACAATAATTTTCGTGTTACAATATTTTGAATCTCACGACCCAATTTGGTAATGATTTTTTAATGTAATATGTTCGTTAAACTTTTTGTTGTAAAGAACTTTTATTTATTAATAAAAAAATAAAAAAATCAAATAAATCAAATGTATGATTCGTCCGTTATTTAAGAAACGTTGTAGTATTAGTATATGTATATATATATATACATTCATTAGAATCACTATCTATTTAAGTTGTCATTCATTCATTCATTTTCTTTTCAACATCCCGCTATCATTCTGCCTAATTTAAAAATCTTATTTCTGGTTGTGGAGTTGATAAAGTTATTATTAAAGCAGTTAGTTACTTGAATTTGGAAAACACCAATGAATATCTGAAGAATATCACAAATATCATTTGCACTTAGCTTTATGGACAATTTATTCAATGGGATCATTCCTATATGTTATAAATCTCTAATTTGCATTAAAAATTAATGATTTTTTAAATTCCAATAAAACAGCATTTTAAAAAGGAATATACTTAAAACGTTTTGTGTTTCACGTTGATTTAAAACTACTTTTTCGAATTATATGTATTACTGAATATATCATAAAAGTATGGATTTGATTATTATTGTTTCTAATACTTCTTCCTTCCTTTGTAATTACTGTATAAATTAAAAAAAAGAAAATAAATCAATAAAAAAAAATTTAACAAATTGGTATGAAGTCACATGTAAACCAACACCAGTATTCCACATCACATGATTATATGAACATCCGTTTGATAAAACACTTCCAAAATTTTCGATCTATAATCAATTCATAAGATATAACTTAATATCTACATATGTATATCTTATAACGCATATGTAACTTTTTCTGTTATTTCATCTATTAGCATCTATTAGCATCTAATACATGGTTTACATTTCGGCGTAAAAATAAATAGGATTTAATTAAAGCTTTCAATAATTCTTGTAAAAGTATCAATTTCTATCTTTAAAGATAAATTTATTTTCCATGAACTTCTGTACAATTTTGCCCGATACATTTAATTAAAATGTTGTTATATGTAAACCTAAAAATACATCTAACTAATGAATTACGATCTTAGAACCAATTATGAATTATAGGGCATATACTTTTTTGAACTGTTTTCCTCAGGTGACATTGAATCAATAATTATAACTATCTAAACCATATTCATCCCTGTTACTATATATCTCATACCTGACTCTTTTTGCTGTTGGAGTGAAATTCATTTTAGGTGATCTGGATTTTTCTGCTTCTAATGGAACACTTGGAAATTCAGGATAAAATTTTCGTTTTATCCCAGAACTCTCTCTATTAAGAAGATTTCTCAAATACTGTCCATCCTTACAAACAATTTGCCTCAGGTAACTGATTAAATTGAATACGTTTTCAATATCTATCTCCGTGCAACCTGATTGTAGGTCAAAACATTTGATATCTTGATCATAAATATATATGATGCAATTGGATTCGTGGTTGTAGAGTGGTCTTAATATTCCAAGGCGTATATGAGCATTATTGACTAAAGCAACATGTACTCGGATCTTGGATATTTCTGATTCTGAAATAATATGCATTGAAAGTATACGATTTATGGTATGGACCGCCTCAGCAACTACTACTGCAAAATCTTTGTGGATCCGCACACCATCAACTTCAAATTCCAAGATAAAAAAAGGATATCGCTCCTTCGTGTTAAGGGAAATAGTAACACATGCAAAATCTGATCTTGACGATCCTTTTCCACTGTCACCAGGTATTTGATAATGAAGTTCCCATGTTGGCTCAAAAGAGTCAATGTTAAGAGTAAATGCATCTGATAATATTTTCGCCCATAATTGCGCTTTATAATGATTTTCAGATGGATCGGCACCAGATCGAACTGGTGAGGGCACAAATAATAGAACTGATGTCAATGCGGACAAAGTTGTTGGTACATCAATAACAAAATTAGCAGGCCCTGAGCCCAACCAATGTTGTATCCTATTTATAATACTTGACTTCGTTGTTCCAATTTTGCCCTCATTTATTATTCCATTCAGGACTGGAGTAGCGTTCAATAGTTTTTTGTGCTTAGTACTCTTTAACGCTTCTGTTATAAAACCAAAATTTATAGCCGGTTTCTGAAGGTCTGGATAGCATATTGGATCTTGTGTTGGAAATAATTTACTATCCACGACTGACCAAATAAGTAGTTTACAAAGGTGTCTTCCACGCTGAGATTCCTCTTCAAGATGATGGTTTTTAATTGCTCTAATATTTTACAATATTCTTTCAAATCTGGAAAAGCCTTTGTATTTGCAAAAATGTACTGGACATCATGATTATTTTCTGTTTGGGTGGTTTGACTATGGGTTCTTGGATTATTTTTATGTAATTCTGGTCCCTTTCTAATCTATACATTTTAAAGGAAATCAGAAACTTAAAAATTAAACAATATTCTTCATAAATTTAGTTGCACGCTAACCTTATTTGGAGGAGTTGATGGAGGTTCTTCATCTTTGCGAGCTTTCTTGTATCCAGTTATTGAATCAGGCCTTGAATTATCATTTGTTTGTTTTGTGGAAACATATTCATCGGTTCGAATGAAAGATTCATTCTTGATGTTAAGGAGAATACACAATAAGTAAGTACAACTTCTTAATCAACAAAATACATAATTTTGTCCATACCATAGCCCCATCGATTCTCTTCATGATTCCAGTTGCTGTTCCAATCTGTTAAAGAAAATAATATTAACAGTTCTGTATTGTAAGCAAACTAAAACAAACAATATAAATGTTACAAACCTCTGCCAATCGCATTTCCACCCTCTTCTTTTCAATTTCGATATCAAATGCTAATCGTGATTCAATCTTGTCCCAGAATAATTTCGAATCTATGTCATTGGTACGATGATGCTTTCAATGTATAAGTAGATAAACATTAGTTACAGGTAGAGTAGATAAGCATCAGTTTAACCATAATGTTAGAAATTTTTTTATTTTTGTGGACCATAGCGAGCACGAAGTTCATCAGGAAAACAACACGAAGATGTCTTCCATAGCTATGTGAGTTTATTGTATCTATAAAAATTATATGTCGAACACGAAGATCATCAAAGAGACGACACGAAGACTTCTCTTTTAGTCATATAAATTTTATAAAACACTCTATACAACGAACACGAAGATCATCAAAGAGTGACACGAAGACACTTCTTCTAGTTGTAGAGAGTACTCCAAACAAGTATTTAAAGTCTTTATCAACAGGTGCCACTTGCCTTATATTTGTTATTCAAAAGAGCAGCATGATTCTTGGCTTCTGATGTGCCGTTCTTCAAAAGGTATTCAAGAGATCTCTTAAGAATAAAAGCTTCCTTTTGAAACGAATTGGTAAAGTCATTTTCTTGTTGGCGATACTCGTAAAAATTGACAAATTTCCACTCTTTAGGTGGTATTTCAATAAAGTATGAATTGATGTAAGGTCCTGTCATTCTAATCACCAAATTGCAAAAAAGTTTATTGATTAGAGAAAATCGCGAGAAATATGTAAACAAGACGCGTGTGGTTACACATAACAAAACAGCTAAAAAAAAATTTCCCCAAAATTGGCCTCGTGGCGTAGCAATTTCCGCGACTACAGTCAAGGTTCTTTCCAAATTTGGAAAAGTAAATTTACTCCTCTTTGTCGATCAATTCATATATGTTTCATACAGTCATATGTTACAAGTGATACTTTGTGCCTTCGAAATTTTTTTTTTTTTTTGGAAAAACAATTTATTTTTTGACAGAGTCCAAAGTGACAAAACGTGAACATTGTTGTTTGGTTTGGTTTGGGTCTCCTAAAGAAAAGGTGTTAATAACTAACCAGAGGTACTTTTTTTATTATTTTAGTTTATAAATATTTTAATTGGAAATCAAAATGCGGAGCAGATCATTGCTGGGTAATTATAAGATTCTTATCAACAACGAATGATTGGCATTTGGCTTTTCGTAATCATTAATATTAATAATATTAATTATAATATTATAACAATAAATAAACAAACAAATAGCTTTTATTGCGAAATAATTCATTTTGTTCCTTTGGTGTTAATGATTGAATTGATCACACAAGCAGTAGTTAATTTAAACAGCATTGTTTTTAAAGAATTTATTCAAAATATTATAAAATCCGTTGAATGTATCATCCTTGTACGGGGCCATGCTAATCTTTCTGTATCATTCCCAATTTAATGTCACACCAGAAGGTAATTGTCTTAAAATGTCACGCGAGATCTGCAATTATAAATATCGACTTCCATATTATTATGGAGGTCTGACTTGTCTGTACATTTACATTAAAATATTGAATATTGATGATCACTTTTATTAGCAAGATCTTACATTTTTGACTGTTATAGATAGATGCAAATAATAAAAATGACTAATAATGAAGAGGAAGAAAGAAATAAAAATAAAAATAATATTGATACAGACCATAAAACAGTTGATACTAGTTTAAAGTCTATTAAAAAATATCATTCAAATGCTGATTGTGAATCTTTAAGTTGTGTATGTGTGTTATTATAATATAATTTTTTGTAAATAAATATTTATTTATTTATTTATTTTAGGCATTGAAAACTATTGTAACAGCCACAACAAATCGTAATAGTGGGAATGGTGAGTTGATTATCAGTAATTTAATTAATTAATAATATAATTTTTAATAACAATTATAATTATAATTTTTAATAACAATTATAATTAATAATTTATAATAACAATTATAATTATAATTGATAGATCATATCCTAATATTTTCACCATCATCAAGTTTAGCTGTTCCAAATTGGAAATGGATTAATAAATATTTCTTATCAGCACTACAATCCCTGGCTGCAAAACAACATTTTGGTAATTTTTTTATTGATAGAAAGGTGAATAATCATTTGTTACAATCATTATGTTATAATTTTATAAATTTGTGGTTTATAATTTAAAGATTTTTATAGACAGGAGAAAAATATTGGGAAAACATGCCAATATATGTTAGAATTGGGATGCATTTATTATTTTTTGGTAAATTTAACGAAAAAGGTAAATTTTTATTATTTTTATTTTTGAGAAAAAATTATTCTTTTGTTTATTATAATATATATATTAATATAACAAATTATAGTTGTTGAGTTTAAAGCAATTGAAGATTTATTTGAGACTGAAACAAAAAGACAAGGAAAATATTTTGATTCATTTCATTCAGTACACAATATACCAAAATTTGTCAAGCACTACGAAATTGATTTAAATGAATTATTGGAACCTGATATGAATAAATATAAAACTTTTAATGAATTTTTTTATAGAAGGTTAAAACCAAATTCAAGATTGATTGATTCTATGGGTGATGATAATATTTACACTTCACCAACTGATTCAAGAGTAACTGTTTATCAAAATATTGATTTTGCAAAAAAATATTGGTAATTAATTACTCTAATATTAAAATTGATTATGTATATATTTATTGTTAATTATATTAAATATACATATAATTTTCAGGGTTAAAGGCAAAAGATTTACCATAGAAAATTTATTAAATGATGGTGAATTAGTAAGGCTTTAAATTACAAATTTTAAAGCTTTTAAGATTTTTAAATTAATTTAAAATTGTTTTGAATTGATTATTAGGCAAAATCTTTTGAAGGTGGATCAATTGCAATATTTAGATTAGCACCACAAGATTATCACAGATTTCATTCACCGATTGCAGGAAAAATTATTGAAATAAAGCCAATTAATGGAAAGTATTATACAGGTAAAGGCTTATATAAATAAAAGAACATATTTTCAAGGAAAGATAAATTTACGTTAATATATAAAATTTACATATGCAGTTAATCCAATGGCTGTGAATGAAGAATTAGATGTTTTAACTGAGAATGTTAGATCTTTATTATTGCTTGAGTCAACATCATCCATCACACCAAAAACCAAATTGGCATTTATTCCCGTTGGTGCTTTATTAGTTGGATCAATTAGATATACAATCAATAAAGGTGATATAATTAGTAAAGGTGATGAATTAGGATATTTTGCATATGGTGGCAGTACAGTAATAATATTGTGGGAAAAGAAGGTTCAAATTAAATTTGATGAAGATTTGATTAATAATTCTATCAATAAATTAGAAACATTGGTCAAAGTAGGAATGAGAATTGGCATGAAACAAAATAATTTATAGATTGTATTTTTATTTGTCATTTTTGTATTTATTTATTTATATTTGGTCCTTATTTGAATTTCATATTCTCAGGACAATCTACTTGATTATTAGGATGACTTTTTCTAAATTCTTCCAATTTATTTAAATTATTTACTATTTTTTGAATTGTTGGGAATTTTGTCATATCCACATTATATCTATCAACAATAAGAAAAATTTTTCAATATTAAAATAAATAAATTATTATTTGTTAAATTCTTTTCATTATTAAATTATTTATTTAAATTCTACCTATTTGCATTGTAAACTTGAGGTTCTAAACATATATCAGCAAGTGTAACTTTATCGCCAACACAATAATCTTTAGAGGTTAAAGAAAGTTGTCTCTCAATTCCTAAATTTATATTAATAAATATATTTTTTAATATTTTATAATAATATTATTATTAATAATAGATTATTCATACCTTGAAAATTAACAGTGATCCAATGTTCTGCCCATTCCGATTTTTTATCTTTACCAACATAGTTAAGAACTCGTAGATTTTGTATAGGCTGCGTATCACTTGCAATCATTTGAACCAATGATCTAACCTTTTTATTATTAAATAACAATGTATTTATATTATATTACATATATATTATTAATTAATTGCCAAAAAAAATTCAATTACCAATGATTTTTCATAAGGATCATTTGATGGTAATAAAGGTTTTTGAGGATACACTTCTTCTAAATATTCAAGAATTGCAATAGATTGTGTTAAAACTTTCCCATCGTTACTTATAAAAGTTGGAACCTCTTGCAAAGGATTAAGATTTGTATATTCAATTGATTTCTAAAATAATAATTATTGAAATTGTTATAATTAATTAAATAATTACTATAACTGATATAATTTTTAATCTAATTATTATCATCTTTTTTTTTCAATACATACATGTTCTTCCTTTAGCAAATCAATTGGTATAATATCATAATCAATTTCCTTCCAATTCAAAGAAGTTCTAACTCTCCAGCTACATGATGATCTATAATATGAATAAAGAGTTGGCTTTTTTCCTTCATCTAAAGACTTATTTGATTATATTAAATAATTAAATAACATCCATTCATTCGTTTATTCATTTATTCATTCATTTTAATGATTAGTTTAATTAGTTTACCATTTTTCTACAAATTTGAAATAATATTTTTGATCGTCAAATGTGATACAAATCGGTTAAAAAAGGAGAGTATGAATGTTTGAATAGTAATAGGGGGTTAAAATTAAGGCTCCGAATGAATCAAATCATTAGTATTAGGGTGATTTGATTTGATTTGATCCATGCTCAATTCAATTCAATTTGATTTGTGACTTGTTTGAATCAAAATTTATATTACACAGTGAATCTCAATTTAGTGTATCTTGATTAATGGATTGAGGTTTAATAATAATAATAATAATATTCTTCTCAACACACGGATTTCTTGATACAGTCAAACCTTGTCATAGTGGATGAACAGGACACATAATACTAATAAAATTTTGTTTTGAGGTAGTACCGTTAGTTTGACGGGTTATTGAATAGTACAATAGTTTTTTTTGGCGGAGCAAATAAATTTTTTAGGGTTAATTATCTCTACTGACTAGTTACACACACACAATAAGTTGGAAATTGTTTAAAATAAATAAATGATATTATAGAACATAATGAAAACCAAGAAAAAGTCATTGAAGAAATTGTTAACAATTACTATGAATCTGAAAATGAAAAGCAGTGGGAGCATCAAAGTGAAAAGAATGCTATCATTGGTCGGATAAGAAATGGAGAAAACTTTGGAGATAAACCTGCTAAAGATATTATTATTAAGGATATTATCAAAAGCAAAATTGAGTGAATTAATGAGTTAGAAGCAAAAATAGAAGAGTTGGAAGATGAGGTGCAAACAGAACAAGAAGAAATTGAAACATCTTAATAGTTGGTGAAAACTGAAGTAAAAATCAAGCAGAAGATATAAAAGAAAAAAACAAGAAACTAGTGAGAAGATTTCTTATCTAGAAGCCCAAGTTGAAAAATTAGAGGAAGAATTAAGTCAAAGAGCAAAAAAATAGAAAAACTAAGCAAGCAATTAACTGATAGTGAAACACAAAATGGAAATTTAAAGAATCTGATCTACTTAGATAATAAATATTTACCTGCCTTACCTATAGAAGAAGAAGAGAGCAAGCCATCTTCAACTAAACAGAGCATATTTAAGCAATTAAAAACAAAAGCAAAAACCAAGATTCAAAATTACAAAAGCTAATCAAAAAGGAAAAATCTCACAACCAAGAAATTATTGCTCAAGTAGAGGTTAAGTCTAAATAACAAGTAAATTGCAATGAAAGAACTGGAATACACAGTTTTAGAATTGGAAAAAGAAAGTAAAAAAACTTGTGATTTCTGCTCTAAATTTGAAAATAAAAATAATAAATCTGTTCATCAAATAAGAGCCTGTAGTAAAATAACTGGAAGATGACATGGTTTGTGAACAGTGTGAAAAAAGTATTGGGATGGAGAACTATTAAAGTGTAATAGGTGTGGTAGATTACAAACTAAGCTAGATTTTGATGTTGTTAGTGGTAAAAATACTTGTTATTGCATTAGAAATAATGAAGACTTGGAAGAGAAAGAATTTCCCCTCTTACCCAATGAAGAAATAAGTCAGTCTGCTTTTTATGAAAGACAGATAAACTCCCTCCAAGAACAATTAAATGAGACTGAAGAAGCACTAGAAATTGAAAGGGAAGAAGTAGTTAAAAAGTTTGATGATAAATCTATTTTATTATGAATAGGAGGTGTAACTTTGTTAGGTTTTATAATTACTATGATTAAAAAAAATCAATATTGTAATCATAAGATTATTTCCTTCTAAGGATTTTTGCTTTTTGTTGGGTGATAGCATACTTTCATTCTGCTTTCTTTTCTTAATATTTATGATTTTCTTTCACCTTGATAAATTTTCATAAGTAATCTTTTCTTTCCTTAGATAAGCTTCAATTGCCCAAGTATCATTTATTTTTAAAAATATAAGGAGCAATTTTTTTCACCTTGTTCCTTTTTTAAAATACTTCTAATGGTGCTGTAATTTTTTGGTTCCATGGTAGATCTAATGTAAGTGAATTTCATATTAACTATAGGGGTAGTTCTATATATCACTTAACAAATGGGACATTATAAAACTGTTGATTATGATCACATTTACAAATAACTAAAATTTTAATCCCTGAAATCCTTAGTAGTGCAAATGTTCACTTTGTTGCAAGCATGCCCATTTACATAATGATGCACACAAAGTGCCCAAAACTGAAAATCGACGTTGTACAAATTACACCAAAAAAAGATAACTCATTTGTAAAATTTTTTTTTCAACTCTTTAATTTATTACATACAAGCAACAATAAATAAATAATCATAAAATGACGGACAAATTACCACCTAATTTATTAGCACTATTTGCACCTCGACCTCCACTTCCATATGCAAAACCTTTAGATCGAGATCCTACAAAACGTAAAGGTCCTCAAATATCCGGTGTTGGTTCATATGTTTCGCTGTTAAAAAACTATGACCCAGACTATGTGCCTACAGAAACCTTTGAAGAGAAAAAGAAAAGAAAGGTAAATGTTGTCGTATGTTTATTAGAATTAAATTTATTGGCTCAAATTAAAAATAACCTTGATGAATATTTACATAACTGAAGATATTAGAGAAAAAACAAAAAGCAGAAGAAGCGATCAAAAAGGGACTTGAAGCGTGTATGTATTCTATTTATTTAACAGCAGAAAAGTAATAATTCAGAAGATTTACGTATAAAATAAATTATTAGGGGACCCTAATAAAGATGAGAATGTTACCGGGGATCCATTTAAAACATTATTTGTTGCAAGAATGGTATGAAAACACAATATTAATGAAATTTCTATTATTATAATGATAAATTCATAACCAAATTTTTTTAAAAAAAAAATTTAGAATTATGAAATAACGGAAAAGGATTTACGAAGAGAATTTGAAATTTATGGTCCAATAGAAAATGTTAGTTATATGATTGATCTTTCCAAAAAATTTCACCTTACTAATCAATATGAAAATCATTAATTAATCTGCTTTAGATAAGAATTATAAAAAACAAACTCACCGGAAAACCTCGAGGCTATGCTTTTATTGAATTTGAAAGAGAAAAAGATATGAAAGGTAAAGAAGGCAGAGAGCCAAAGATATATATTTGTACTTATATATATATACATTACTTGCATACTTAAATTCATTCTTTAATATACAGCTGCGTACAAAGGTGCTGATGGCGTTAAACTTTTGGGTCGTCGAATTTTAGTTGATGTAGAACGTGGTAGAACAGTTAAGGGTTGGAGACCACGTCGTCTTGGTAATAATTCTTATCCTTTTTACATCTTTTATTAATTAATTTCTATTTTATATATATTTTTTTACGAAAAATTCAAATATATAAATCTATAATATGTGACAAGGTGGTGGTTTAGGAGGAACTAGGATTGGGGGTCCTGATCAAAATCAAAAATACTCAGGCAGAGAAGGTTCTTATATTCATACAAGTCATCCTCCACCAACAAGTTACGACAGGGATTATAGAGGTTATTCACGTGGAAGTGCAGGTGGATATGGATCAAGTTATGGGTATAGTAGTAGTGGTAGTGGTAGTAGACATAGTAGTAGTGGGAGAAATGGTGGGTATAGTGGGACAAGTGGTTATGATCGCGACTATAGACGTCGTGGTCGTAGTCGCTCAAGAAGTCCCGGAGCATATAGAGATGATAGGTATGGTTCTAAAGGTAGGGATAGAGATAGAAGAAAAGATCGCAGGTAAAACACAAAAATCAAGTTAAAAAAATTCATCATAAAAATTAATATTTTTATAAGTGAGTGTGTTTTAAAATTTTTTTTTTTTTAAAAAAATATTGTATCGTAAATAAAAACTTTGTAATATTGTTTCAGTTAAAAAAATAATAATAACCGAACAATTCGATTTGGTAAGTATCTATTGATAATCAATCGGTCAATTTATATGTAATGTATCCAACCAAAAATACTTTATTTCTGTATGTGTATATATATATTGATTTACAAAATGGAAACCCAGGCAAGAATTTGTATATATTTCTCCAAAATAATAATGTTTTATAAGATCTCCATTTTGGCTGATATGTTTTTTTTAGTGGTTTTAGGACAAGATTTACGAATTCAAAAAAAAAGTAATAGATATAAATATTTTTATTATTTATTATTATTATTATTATTATTATTATTGTCATCATTTTCTCTTGCTATATATTATATAATTTTCATTTTCTTTAAAAAAAAAAAAAGTGTTTTAATAGGTAAAAATACATGGTAAATATTATTAGTTTATTTATATATTTGATTTTTTGATTTTGTTATTTTTATTTTTTTTTAGAATTTGGGTGAGTGTGGGGTAAGTTGGAGGAACTGTCACATGTATATCTACACATAGTCATAATGTTTGGAGATAAAAAAACTTTTTACCTTTTTCGTTGAACCATCTTGAAACTTGCCATTCCATTTATGAACATTATAATGTTTGTTGGTGAGTGACAGTTGGTGATTTTTTAAAAAACTTTAATGATTCTATTTAAATAATAAGACAAGCACCAACTTTATAACAATTACAATGATCATCATCATATTTAAAGAGAAAATTGTCAAAAGAAAATATTTTTTCTTAGTTTAATTAGGATCAAGTGTTTTTCCTTGTAAAGGTATAGAATATGTATATTTGCGTGTGTATTTATGTAATTTACATATATATATAGATATTCCTTTCAAACGCATTGTTAAAGGTATGCTATCAAGTTATTATTATTCTTGAGCTCATTACGTTACTATTTCCATTATAATTTTACAGTAATTCTTTTTGTATTAAGAATTTGAATATGGATAATTGAAAAGGAAGAAAATTGGTATAAATTTAATATTAAAATAAATAAATTTTGTTTTAAATTAACCAACATACACTTTAATTTTTAATAATGCATATATACAATTGATCTAAAATGGTAATTGAAATAATAATACATATATATAATCATATATTTTTACCAAAAAATTTTTGCATAAATTACAAATAAAATCATAGCAACGAGTATTACTATAATCAATATTGTTAGAAATCGATTGGTTGTCATACTATATTAATATAAAATTTGAAGAATTTATAAAAGATTTTTGGTTGATAAAAATTTTTAAGTATGATTGAAAAAATACTCACCGGTGAGTCATATTCTTTAAAGTACGCTGTGCTTTATCAACATAAGAATCGGCTTCCGTTAACTGTTATAGTATTATGATGATGATTAGTTAATTAATGGAAAAATGATTTTGCTTAAAAAAGAAATTCGCAAATATACATACTGTATTTCTAGTATGTAAAATTTGTTCACGTTGTTTATGAATATCTTCCAATATATCTGCACCAATTGTTTCTTAAATAAAAAAATCAAGCATTTAGCAATAATTATTAAATATAAACCAAAAATCACTTTTTTAACCAACCTATTTCCAAAGCAACCCTATGACTATCTTGTAAACGCTTACTACTATCGGCTAATCTTTCTGTACCAGATAAAAGTCTGGTACGTTGATCCATCGAGGCTCTATAATCACTTCCATCAGAATGCATTATAATGTATGATTATTATTATAATTAAATTAAGCAACTTCAAAAGTATTTGGCAATTTGCAGATCACCAAAAAAGCCTTGCCACAACGGATGTCATTTAAACCCGTTATTATTATTATTATTATGCCAAAATTAGCAATCTTTCCATATCGTTTTTTTTATGTGAAGCAAAAATTATAATCCAGATCTTCTGCGGCAAGGTTTGACTGTAAAAACTTGCATCGAGTTTCAAACAAAAAGTTTCAATTGTAAATTAAACCTAGTTGGCAAATTTTAACAACACATCTTGAAAGCAAATAAAAATGTTCCTCGAATGTAAGGTATGAAATTTACATCAAAAGAATGAAGAATACATTCATTGATTTATTAAAAATTTTTTCGAGATAATAAATTTAAAATAGTTATGAAGAACACATGATAAAAATATACTTTTCATGTTAAAATTTGCCAACTAGGCTAGGTTTAAAAAAAATTTTTTTTATCTGACCTTTAAAGCTTATAAAATCATCATTATAATACGAAACTCAAGCACATATATAATCACTAACGAAAATAAAAAACTGACAGTTTGCTGTGTTTGCTTTCCTCTTTTTAAATTTGCAGATTTTGCAAATAAATTCTTAATTTATCCACATATTCAATTTTATTTATTTATTTTCTTTTTAAGTACTTTGCTTTGTTTTGCTAAGTGTTGCTATGCACCGCTTTCCTGATTTTTTGTTTGTTTGAGAAAAGGCTCTTTAAATAGTTGAGAACATAAAAATGTAAAGCACTGAGATTTATCAAAAGGAAATACCTCAATCACATACATAAGGGAAATCAAATAATAAAATCAACTAGTTAGAACTTTATTATTATTACTACTAATATTTTCAACAAATTGGAATAAACTCATCATAAAAAAAACTTTTTTATTTACATTGTTACGCGCAACGAGCAATTCTTTGCAATTTCCGGGATTTTCAAAGCTGTTGGAAATCTACTGATCTTCACCACAAAGAATTTTGGTTCCTATCTTGGGACCAGACTGGGTTTAAATCCTGAAAAATTCCTAAGTTTTTTTTTTAAACATAAAATGTTTGTAATATTGCAAATTATTTTACATTTTATGTCCAAGTTTGAGTTAACCCTTGTTGATTGATTGCAAGCCCTTTATATACAATGTTTGTCAACTAATTTGTTTTACGAATCCATCTTACATATTTCCTCTTTCTTGTACCTAGAAGGCTTCGGTGAATCTGTAAGCACAATTTATGGTACAAATAACAACGAATTTAACATAATAAATGTGAGGCGAAAAATCCAAAACATTTGCCAAGATTGTCATTAATTTGTTCCTCAAATGGATTAATTAATAAATTGTCTAATTTATATTTAGATGTCAAAGATGTGATAATTTAGACACCCATCTATAGTGGTGATATTTTATCCGACCAGATGCTAAGGTTGTGTGCTTTATTATTTGAAATTTGATATATTCTTCGTAAGGGGTGGTGCATTGCATACCCCTGAATACCCTGGATTTATTCCCAAAAATATATAGATAAATTTATATCCTTTTATTCTTTGATCAAATAATAAAGGATACAACCCCAAAATCCATCCGGATATGCTGAAAAATCATTCTGACAGTTTGCGAATCTACTTGAAATATGGTTGGAATTGGTTTTTACTATGTAATTAATTACCTCAAGTTGAAACATTTTGACTTTGAGGATTTGATTTTGACTTCATGTATAGTTAAACATAATACAGGATCATTTACCTTGTTATGTCAATTAATAAAATAAAGATAGATATATTTAAATCATAAATTATGTCTTGGATATAGTTTTTTTTTTATGGGCAAGAATTATGGCAATCATTAATTGAAAGTGAAACCTTTTCTACTAATTCGACTGTTTTACTTTGAGCATAGTGGAAGTTTGTTGTTACACGAAATTTTATACAGAACTCATTGTTCCTGAAATTTCACCAGTACAGTTCACTCTCTCTATAACGGCCAGCCTCTGGAAATTCTCTCGTATGTTTTATATGTTGTCTATAACGGCTGACGATCATGATCTGAGGTAATCATTACCAAATTAAGAAATTGAGTGTGTCACTCAATTATTAGTATTAATAATTTGAACGCGCTTATTGTCACAATACTCCCACTTATTCTATTTCTGAATTCAACAAATTTAACTAATGTAAGAGTTTACTTCTTACCACCAAACACAACAATGTGATGCCGGGATAATTAACAGCTTCAAGGTGAACTACAAAAAACTTTTCTTGCAAAAAAAAATTAGTG